CCTAAAAGCCTGACTGAGCCATTCCTCAAGGCCTCAGGTTTTCCTGCGGTGGAAAGTCTTGTTCCTCGGCGGTGGCACTGGTCTTAACTTGCTTTCAAACGTGCCAAAGGTTGGCTGTGCAGCCCAACAGCCCCTGAAGGCAGGGGAAAACTCTTCGGCTGCCATAAATAAAACTGGGGAGGTCCTACCTCACATTCTTGTGTATCAAACCTGATGTTTATTCATTTTTCGCACTTGTCTGGTGTGAATGGCATTCACCTGGCAAGCCCTTTAGTATCCACGGTGCCTAATTCAATTTAAGCAAAGCTACGATGGCTGTAGAGGAAGAGACATAGACAGACATAGAAAGAAAGATTTCTCTATATAAGTATACAGCATGTAAACCCCTTACTCCATCCCCCCACGGTCTGCCCCACGATGATCTCATCCCTTTCACACAAAAGAGCCTGGAGGCTCGTTCCCCAGGGGTGAAAGAGCCTGCCTGCATGTGTGCGCATGCACAAGTGTGTGTGTGTTTGTATGTGTAATGCTGGACAACAGACAGTGCTGTGTCTGTCTCGGTTATTTCAGGAGTCCTGCTATGCAGATCCACTTGCAGCTTGCCTAAAACAGCAGCTGAGCATGACACACACATCTGTCATGTACTGTGCCATGGACACAGCAAATAGAGAATAAAAAGCACGTGTAGAGATGCAGTGATCATACTCATGAGCAGACCGACCGTTGTTTATAAATAGTAGGTCAGGCCGATTCGTCATGTCAACTCCTCTGCTGTGACAAGTGTGGATGTATGTGAGCCATTTATTCATCTCCATGCATCAGAGCTGAAGTGCACTTAAAATAATTCCTGAAAGTTCAGTGATGCCTACTGACACAAAAAAAATTGTAAAAGCAAAAATTGTCAAAGGAACAGGTAATCTCCTTTCAGTTGTAATAGCCTCCGACAGACTAGCCTTTCAGCTCCAGTGGTAGCCGCTGAGCCACGATGTGTGTCACCCTCAAGTGCCACTCTGTAGCTCTGGGCTTTGGAAGATCTGAAGAGCAAAGTGGCCCTCCGTACTACCTGTCATCACAGTGTGCTGTCGGTGGTGGAGGCCAGGCAGAGTACAAGGTGCCAATGAAGTGACAAAACCTCCATTTTACAAGGCGACGACCACAGAAAAACCAGCGCTCTGTGTTGTTTCTGAGATTGAGCGTGGGTTTGAGAGTAGATGAACTCAAATGAAAGCCAGTTCAGTTGCTGTCTGAAAGCTAGAGTATGTGTGCACATAGTGGCTGTTAAACTGTGGTCTGTAAATACCTCACCCTGCTAATTAATTTTAAACATCAAGTTCTGATGAGACTACCAGCCTTACTTGGCCGAGTGAGCCACATTTTACAACACAGAGAATAAGAAAGAAAAACGACAAAAAACATCCTCAAATGCACTTGACAAAGGCAGGAAATATATTTAGCTGTTCAATATTTACTGTTGAGTGAGAGGTGGAGCATTCACAGTCTATCTGCCTTTTGGCTCCAGATAAGCCTGTGTGATACTCTGGCATTATCACATCCATATGCTAACAACCTCTCTGTCGCTCTGCATGGCCTCAACAAAGGAACAGACCAACGGTGAACTCTGTTCCTCAGTCGTGTTTGTTTAACCCTGGCAGCAGGCTACAGCCACAATATGTTAAATCCAAATTAATTTAGGGGCTGGCAATATCCTTCAACACACCTCTCAGAATATGTATCTTTCTGCCAAATCCCACTGATAACTGATTGAGCGGACTATCAACAGATGGTCGGTTTTCCAATGGGCTATTTTATTTTGTTCCTGTGGGCAACGGCTGCTCTGTTTGAATTTTCTGAGCTCTGACTGGGCAAAACATTTCTGTCATCTTACTGAAACACTGCTGATATTTGCAGGGTATAAAACAAAACATGTCCACATTAAGAAAGAGAGGAATAATACATTACAGCTGCAAATTATTTTTAATAAATTAACAAAATAACTAAAATACAGATGTTCCGATACCATTTTTTATTAATTAATGAAGTTTATTAATCAACTATGTGCTATTAGATCTGTGCATAGACTCATGTACTCATGAATACCCAATCCAGTATTTTATATATATATATATATATATATATATAGTATAAGAGGTACAGGAGGCATTTCCAATACTAGTGACAGTATCAGAACAACTCTAGTCAAAAATTACTGAAACCCATTTACTTAAGTAAAAAAAAAAACTTTAAACTTGCTTAGAAATTATGCAAGTTGCACAAAGTATTCAATTTGTCTTCAACTGAAACATAAAAACAGTTTTTTGCATTTTAGAAGCTGTAACTTGCAAATGTTTTATATTTGTACTTGTCACATAATTATCAAAACTTTCATCCACTGAAGGCTCGCTCAAACTGTCTGTTCCCCTCTAGTATTTGATCTATTTTATCTTTGTTAATCAAACAGTAATCTAACTGCACTGGATCCTTGTTTAATGTTTTAGCAAGATAACATCAAAGCGAGCAGCAGCAACCGGTGACTATAATCATGGCAGAGGTGGCACAAACCCAAATCCCAAATAACCAAAACTGAAAATTTCTACTTTTTTTCTCCTGGCTGATATTTTTTTTTGGGGGGGGGGGGTGGGGGGGGGGGTCTGCTGTTGTGCACTACAAACCTACAACCTAATGTAAGAGGAAGGTGTGCGTTCAAGAGACACTTACACACTTTACGTGTTTGCTGAACCGTGTCAAAAACAACTGCTGCCTGTACAGCCTACAGCAGCAGGTAGGTCATGCCTCCTACAACATGACAAGAAGGCCAGGCAAGGACAGTGAGCTGCTGTTAAATATGACTTTCTTCAATTAAAAACAACCTGGGGAGACGGACTACGAGAGGCAGCTCAGAGCAGCGAGGCTAGGCCCAGCAGAAACGTCACAAGACTGCCTCCCTCCTGGAGCGTGACAGCCCGGCAGACAGAGAGCATTCTTTCCACTCTGAGGAGAAGGGAGAGAGGGCAAACTCATTGCCCTTACTAACTAGCTGGGCTTAGACCAGCTGAGACCCAGGCCTACTGAAAGACGACGACTAAAACACTACTGGCACATCACACCAAAGTGCAAGAGTCAGAGGAAGGACATAGGTCACCTGAGAGGGATTTTGGCTGCATTACATGACCCTTGTTGTTGCTCTTTGGCTAGAGACAACTATCCTGAGTTAATGTATGTTCAGACATGCAAATGGACAGTTAAACAAAATGCACTGCAGCGTTTGAAGTAATTGTTGGCTCAGCAAGCAAAGGAACGTGTGCTATCAGTAGTCTCTGCATCTAACCTGCAGTTATTTGTGGCTACTTAAGTAGAAGCACCATGTGGAAAAACACATAGCAGTAAAAGCAATGCTGACAAAGAAGATCAGGGTTGCTGAAGTGTCCCTGAGGCAGACACTGACTACCTACCAGTGCTGGGGATGCTATTGTGTTGCTGACAGTGACCTCAGACCTCCTTATGGAGGAAGACTTATTTCACAAAAAAGTTAAAGAATCAGTTCAAGTAAAAGTGCTGAAAGGAGATGAAGATTCTCTGGGACTTTAAGCTTTGAAAGGAGCTGAAATGTCAGTCCCAGTGGAAGTCCTGAAATAAATAAGTACCAGTTAAAGTGGATAAAGCAAAAGACAATGTCAGCTTTAGTGTTGAACCTGGAGTGTGAGAAGTTGTAATGTCATTTGAGGAGTGAGAGGTAAAAACAGTTGCAATCTTACTTGACTGACTTTACTAAAAAGATCTGCACTAATGTATCAGAGCAGACATTTCAGACACTGTGCCACAGAATGGATTACTGGCTTCTCTCACACTGCTCAAAATCCTATTTGACTTTTGTCTAGGCAGCCACACAGTCCTTCAACAGCCTGTTCCAGCTCCCTTTACCAATCTGCTTCATTCGCTTGGTCACCTGACAGAGCCTTTGGCCGAGCAGCAGCAGTAACAAAGTGCAAGTTCAATGTACACAAGCCACAGTGCTGCCATGACCCACTTTATAGCTTCTGCCTGCAGCCGTTAGGAGGAGGCAACATTTGCTCCACTCCCCTTTTCCAGTGGCTGTCAGGCCGAGCCAAGGTCAAGGAAGAGATTTTCCTGCTATGTTTCCACGTGTCAGCGGCTCAGTGCTGATGCAGTTCCACCAAAGCAATTTCTACTATTTTCTCCCTCCACAAGCCTCAATTATTCTATTACAATCGGGCAATTCCTGCTGCCATCTCAGGTGGTAAAACACCTAAATTAAAATATTCCTCTAATACCAGAGGAAGTGACATCCTCAGCGCTGCTGGGACTTGTGCCACGGCTGTCATAACAGGAACCTCACATGAATGCCGTGAATCACCAAAACGGTGATAGGAAGCTGAAGCAGGGAGTACTCTGCTGCCCTTAAGGCTTATAGACTCCTGCAGGCTGGCAAACAGTCAAGTGCTGAGGCATAGATATGTGAGCACCTTGGCATTGCATTCAGTGGCATTCGTGCTCTCCCCCCCACCACACACACACACACACACACAGAGCCACAAAATCAACAGAAGCATCTTACACAACTGTGTCCTAGGTTTAGGGTCAAAGAAAACGCAGACATGGCAAACTCAGATAGAAAGTTCCTGGATGAAAGCAAGCCACATGCACAAAAGGAAGTCAGGTTAACAGTTCCTTATCATGAGTCTATTCAGCTGCAAAATCCCCCTGCTGAAGTCAGTTTTATCCAAGTATGTCTTTTATTTCAGGCAGGAAATTCAGTTTGTGAGTGCGGCTGGGAGCAGACAGACACCTGCAAGGTTAGACTGGCTCCAGGAGAGCAGAGTCTGATTATCTGGCGTCACGGAGGGCCAGTGGAGGAGAGGGGAGGAGGAGGAGGAGAGGAGGGGGGGTGTTATATTCCCAACTGTTGCATCCGACCCCATAAGTCGGTCAACTTTGATGCAGGAAATACACCTCGCCGCGGACATAACAAAAGAAATGTCCTCCTGTGACCAGCCTGTGCAGTGATACGTGGCTCGGTCTCTCTTTCCGCGGTTGGATAACACGATGAAAAGTGTGTAAGCAGCCCCGCAGTAGCGCAACACCAGGAAAAGGATTTTTCAGCGGCTGACCTTCCTTATACACAGCTAAAGTGACATTAAAATAGACTAACTACAACTACTAATTCTTAAAGTAAACTCAGCTTAGTCTCAGCTATTCATATACCCGAAAATATGAGCACTTACCAGCTGTTTACACTGCAGCGGGAGACAATGTTGACATGTAGGCAACTTGCTGTTTTTAGCCGCTTGATATATTCCGTATTTATTTTATTTGTGCAAACCGAAACAGGTTAAACCAGGACGGCGCACAAAAAAAGCCACTCCGTAATACTCCTTTGAAACTTCGCTGGCCACTTCTTCGCCACACTCTCATCTGAAGTTGTCGGTGGAGGCAGGCGCCATGTTTGTGTCTGAGCGAATAGTTTTGTTGGTGAGCTTTCCCCCTAAACGTCTCTTTCAGACTGGAACCGCCCAGAGAAGAGGAGAGGCTACCGCAACTGACACAGACTGGCCTCGGGGAGCACTGTGAAGCTCGACCACATGAGACCACCATTTTCCGGTGGGTCTTTTCAAAGTAAATGGCAAAAAAGTTTTGCATTTTTCAGAATAAAGCTATTTATTTATTTTCTCTTGAAGGGTGTTTGAAGTGTTTATCCGTACTTTTTCCTATTACTATAATAATAATATTAATAATAATAATAATAATAATAGTACCATACTTCCTAACACAACTATTACATATCATGTTAAATACTATTTTGTGTATGTTACATTTACACATACATACAAATACTAAATATTTATTAGCCTACATCCTCTGTATGAATGAAGATGAGCCACAATTCTACCTGAGTAAGGTTTGTGGAGTTGCACTACTAGACTCATTATTTCTGAACATATATATATTTACTATTTACACAATGCACTTATCATATACAATATATGTACACAGCTTTTGTAAGTAATTTGTTTGATTTCTTATTTGGGTTTCTTTTCCCCACTGGTAATAAATAAAGTAATGTCTTAATCTTAACTCTTTTCTCTATTGGATGTCTCACTCTTTGAAGGTTGAAATATCTTTATTATCCCAGAGGGGCAAATTGTTGTGCAGCCAGCAGTAGCCAAACTGGTCACAAACAAACAAACAGCAGCAACTGACCACAGCAAAACAACGATTCACACAAACACCCGTAGAAACAGCACGTCCACAAAAACAGCTAATCAAATATTCCAAACAACAAATACAAAAGAAATAAAGTGCAACAGACACCACAAACTCCTGGATAAACACAAAGGTCCAACTGGTAAAAAGTAATGCATACCATATAAAATCACAATGAGTTATTTAGGAAACCAATAGCAGCAGGGACAAAGGAGTTCTTAAATCTATTGGTTCTCCATCTTAGCAGTTTGTACCTGCGACCGGATGGAAGCAGTATGAACTCGCTGAATAAAGGACGGCTCGGATTGGCCAGGATTTTTTGGGCCTTGTTCAGAGCCCTGACCTTATATAGGTAGGGAAGGTCATTAAGGGTCGTGGTCTTTATCGTGAATTTAATGCCCAATATGCCCTATATTTCTATATCTTTGTTACTGGACTTAGTTTAAGCCTTTATTTTGGTAGGGTATGGCATATGCATACCCAAGGTTGTACTGAATGGAAAACGAATTGTTTTTTCATAAATGTTTTCTTGTGTTTTTGTTTTGTCTTTTTATTGTGAAGGTGAAATGCCTTGACTTCCCGCCTTCTCTGAGGTTTGACTGCTGGCTTGACTCACTTGTTTCTCTTGTTCCGTGGTTTTGCTCAGCGACTGACGCCCCCCACCTTAAGTTGGTAGAAATTACACCGAAATAAGAAAGCAACAGGTGTGAGAAAACCTTCACGGAGCCACAGGTCCATTCAGTGCCTCTTCTGTAGTCGTTTAACCGTCTGAGACGTGATCAGTTCGTGAAAATGTGTTATTGTGATTTTAATATGGACCCTAGGAGCCCTGAGCTAAATAAACAAACAACATAAGCAAATCATGCTCAATATTTGTAATAATTATTTTAATATTATCATTTATGAGCGTGCAACGTGATGAATGAGGAGCAGAACATTAAGTTTGTCAAAAGTAGTGTATGGTGATAACAAGCTGCTGAAATTTGAAATTCAGAAAATGTACTAAGCCATGTGCTGTCTTCATAAACGCATGTGCGTCCTGAAGTAAACATAAGTTTTCTTTATTTCAAGTGTCAGAGTATAAATGAATGAGTGCACTTTTGTCCTTTTCCGTGAAACACAGGGTCTCACAAGGTGTGTGTGTGAGGGAAGAAAAAGAGCGATCGTCATGATACATATGTTCACCTGCAGCTTTTATGTGAGACACTTTAAATTCAAAAGAAAGAGCAAAAGAAAAAAAAATACAATCATATCTAAACTAAAATGGTAAAGAGTTACTTTTATTGACAACAACTAATGAAGCACAAACAGCTGATTGGAGATATGTGTGGCCTGTTGACGGCTGCACAGCAGAAGGAAGAGGGACCCAGGCCGCTGATAGTTTTTTGGGACAGAGTAGAGAGTCTAACTCGTTTTTGTGACATTAAAACTCAAATAAATTATTCCATCTGCTGATCTATTTGTTAAAATCTTTCGTTGGACTCTTTTCCACAGTTTTCAATCTCACATGTGGCGACTAAAATTCAGGAAAGACTTAGCAGACTAGACTTTTAGCAGACTTAGAACTCAGAATGTAAAAAAAGCCCAATTATTATTATATTGTAGCTAAAATAAAAAGAAGCACATTATTAAATAGTAGCTAATGTAAAATAAATAAATATATATATTAAAATGCACATTATTTAATAGTAGCTAAAATAAAAAAACAAATAAAGGAATCATAAATAAAGAAAATATAGAAAAAAATAGAAGAAACGTGAGAAAAATCTGACGCACAAGTGTACTTCAGTAAATGTCATGGAAACAGAACCCTGACCCAGACCGAGCCTATAAAAGCTCTGAGCACCATTCTCATCTCTCTCTTTGCACCTGGACACTGACCTGAGTTGACCTACTGCAAAAGACACAAACTGTGACGCTAACCTTTGGAAAGCTAACACTTGGAGAATTCAACTACTACTACTACTACTGGAAGACAACTAAACACAACTTTTGGACTTTCGCACTCAACGAACCACCAAGGACAACCCACCACCCTGACCATGACCGACAGCAGGCCGCTGCCCACCGGGGAGCCTCTTCTGGCTGGAGTCGCCCATGAGGTGGACGACCACCATGCAGGTAAGACAAAAATATATTCATGTTATCTTTATTACAAAGTCAATAATTTATCTCCCTAAAATCATCTAAGGCTCCCTCAGTGAAAAAGTAAATCAAACTTTTTAGATTTAGGTGGACAGTTGGAACCATGTTATTAGGCCTGTTGGAAATAACATAGATTTGGCGAAAATAGACTTTTATTCGACGATTTCTCCGTGTAAATTGGTTGTTTTGTGGATAGAATGTATCAAATATCGCGGGAGATGTGTGGAGTGTGTTAACAACTGTGTTTTAATTTGAAAACACTGTTATTTTGGTTTGAGTGCATCAAACTTTACAAATTTTGCATCCAAATTATTGGGAAAAAGATGGCGACTTGGCCAAAATTCATAAAATGCCAAAATATGCTATTTCTCGTGCACCTTGGAAACGGTGGAACCTTTAGCTTTAGAACGTCAGGACGCAAATATTCCTCGTCTGAATGTTGTTGGATCTTAAACAGAGCTGTTGTGTTTAGTCATCTCACTTGGGCTTGTGCTCGACATGTTGGTATTTCACACACTGAAATGCGCTTTACTTTGTCATTTAGTGGTTTATCTGCGAGGGAGAAAACGTTGATTTGTCTTGTGATTTCTTACTGCGCTGCATGTGCGCGCTCCGCTCCTGGACACCACTGGCTCCCACGCGCATCGTGATTTTCTCGTAAACTGGGAGAGTGTTCGGTAGTAAACGGATAGTTTGGTGTGCGCAGAATCTCAGACGTTTTTGTGGTTATTTTGGAGAAGCCTTGTTGTTTGTTATGCATGATTTAGTAGCCATGGATCAGCGTGCGTAATGACGCATGCAGATCAATGCATATAGCATAGGTCTACTTGCGCTTCTTATCTGAGGGAGCTTTTGGGGAGCTTGTAACACATGTTGTGCAGTCCTACTTACATAATGGTTATAGAGTGACTTGCTTACTCGGTCCAAAAGAGCTGATATGAGACATTCTTAAGCTGTGAAATCAAGATTGCTTTAACTTTTTCCCCTCAGAAGGCATTCAACTTCCCACAGAAGATGGCCCCCGTGAAGTGGACTACGATCTCCCAATCGTCATCTCTTCAGATGAAGAGGAGGACAGTGTGGTTATTGTTATTGAGGATGAAGATGATGAGGAAGATGACCGCAGTGACGAGGAGGAGGAGTCTGAGGAGGAAGACTGGACCAGTGAGGATTCTGGTTATGACACCCTATCTGAGGAGGAGGAAGACTTAGAAGACGATGATGTCAACATCGGACGTCTCTCTCCTCTCATCCAGGAATTCCCCCCAGAAGAGTTCTGGCATGGCTGGCGACAAGAGTTTTCTCCTGTTCCTGCTGATGTTGCCCACCCACACGTTCCTGAGGAGCGACTGCCCCCGGTGCTTCCCCTTGCAGCTTCCCCTTGCAGCTCTGTTGCAGAACCCTCAAGACCTGAAGACCCTGCTGCCTCAACATCAGGCCACAGCTCCTCTACAAAGAGAAGCAGGGAGGAGAGCCACAGCGAGCAGGTAAGTGACAAGAGGCCCAGATGGGACATCGAGGGAAGCCTTCAGGAGTCAGCTCCATCAACATCAGGACTCAGCTCCTCTACAAAGAGAAGCAGGGAGGAGAGCCACAGCGAGCAGGTAAGTGACAAGAGACACAGATGGGATGTGGATGGAAGCCCCCAGGAGTCAGCTCCATCAACCTCAGGCCTCAGCTCCTCTGCACCCCGAAGACCCTGGCTTAGTCGTGCTGACTGTCCATCGTGGTTTGACGACAGCGACTCCAATTAGGGATGTCCCCCTGGAATGCTACATGAAGCAGCAGGATTAAAACCTGGACACTCTTTGCAAGTGATAGGGCTAATGATGCCCCAGGTGTCCCTTGCGTCTGGCAAGGCTGTGAATGTCCTGTGAAGCGTCTTGCACCAGGACTTTCTTGTATCCATCACATTTTTTTCAAGTGCTGTCACTTGCGTCTGGCAAGGTTGGCAAGAATAAGAATAAGTATAAGATTAAGTATAAGAGTAAGTATAAAAATAAGTATAATGGTAAGTATAAGAATAAGTATAAGATTAAGTATAAGAGTAAGTATAAAAATAAGTATAATGGTAAGTATAAGAATAAGTATAAGATTAAGTATAAGTATGAGAATATGAATTCTTAAGATAAGAGTAAGAATAGGTAAAGTGTAAATGTCTGAAACAGAGGTAAGTTATTTACTAATGACTACATTAACAAAAGTTTCCCACAAGTTTTAATTTCACATATTTAATTATTCAAAGATTATTTATTGACTTTCTCATAATTAATGTTTTTCTTCTTGAGGTGAAGCTGGCTATACCAGACAAAGGTAAGTTAATGACAACATTAATATCACATAGATTATTCTTTTTACTAACTTTGTTGTATTTTTTAACTTGTTTTTACTCCGGTATAGATGACTGAACGAGATCAAGATCCCTGCAGTCCAGTTCCAACCCTGATCCCAAGAACCACTTGTGGTAAGAATATGTCATAGGTTATTCATTCTCTGTGGTCTATTTTTTGTACTCTTGAATCCACCATTTGCAATTATTGTAGTGCACTGACCATCAAAGATGATGTTTCTTTCAGTTGTTACAGGTGGAGCAGTGGAGGCTGGAGCACTTCCCCCAAGACCGAGACCCGACTTCCAGACCAGACAGAAGGATGGATGACCACAGGACCAGCTGGTGAAGTGGTGGCCCTTGTCTCAGTAGGCTCAGTAAGTAATCCCCTCAGTGAGACTAGAAAGGTAACAAGTCACATAAAGTGGTGATGAGCTAAAGTTAACAGTAATTTGTTGATGATATTTCTTGCAGCACCAAAGGGGTTCACTGAACCATTGTCAGCACCATACTCACTGCCAGTCAACAAACAGTATCTGCAGAGCCAGTGAGTCAAGAACCAACCCTCCAGCCACCAATCCAGAGGGTGAGGAGCGTCCTGCCTTCCCACACAGAGGAAGTTTTCACTTTCTGCTTCTTCTGTGCTGGTGGGTTTGGGATTCTCTTCACACACACACAGACACGCAGGAAACTCATCATCTGCCTCCCTGTGTACAGAAGTCAAGACAGTCAAGAAAGACTTTGTCACATTTTATATAGCACATGGATGTAAACACAGTTGTACCATGTCATTGATGTAAGATAAACCTTTAACAATTGTATAATCTTTCATGTATTATGCAGAAATAAATATTGTAAAATATTGTAATTTAATTTGTGTTGCTTTTCATTTCATATGAAGGTATTAGTGTTAAGTTTTTACTGTGGTATTTTGAAAAAAAAAAAAACTTACAGTATAAACACACCTAGCCTCTTGTTCACTTGTTTGGGTTTGGTTTGGTGTTAAAGTAAAAAAAAACAAAAACAACCTACAACCTTCTACAACCACTTGCCTGTTTCAACAAACTGGTAAACTGAGGACATCACAAGTGGCCACAGAGTACAATAGAAATCTTTAGGCACATCACTGCTGAAAAGGCCAGTTATTATTAGGAACCTGATTTCTGTATGTTAAACAGTCAAAGTGCTCAGGTGATTTGGTTTTGCTCTGGTCTGAAGCAGGACTCACAGACAGGGTTGAGAAAAAAGCTTTTATCTCTGTAGCTGAGTCACCTTGGAATGATTGAAGATTATAGAGAAAAATCACCTTGTACAGGGCAATGGGGGAAAAAAAAAAGATCATGGTTTCATCCTTAGGTGTTGAGCTTCTGTGTCCATTAACACTCAAATACAGGTCATTAACACTTGCTGAACATTATGCTGTTTTCTGTGATTAATCCCTGCAGCAGGTACATCAGTATTAATAGTATTGTCAACTGAGAGCTTCATCCTTTGATCCACCAACAATATAAATGTTTCAGTTTCCAATCATACCATTATTATCTATATCACTGCGGTAATCCTTTAGCTTTAGCAATTCAAATGCATGTAGGTTTGTGGATGACAATCAGCAAAAGCAGATTCACAAATTCAGGCACAATTGTAGGAAAAGAGAAAATTGATTCCAAATGGAAATTAAACCAAAATATGCACAAGGAGAACAAACGTTTGGATGATCTGTAAGCTTCTTATAGCCATTTTATTTTAATAATTATAGTCAACCTTTTTATTATCACTTTGATAAGACAAAGTGACATGTATATTAAACTATGTATGACTCTCCCTCTCACATACATACTTTTGCCTCCCAACATTCAGGAAATTCCGCTACTTCCATCAACCTGACTTGCTCGGTTCCTCCTGTGGTCACATACTTAGAAAAAAAACATTTTAGCATCCTGCATGGTACAAATACGTGCCAATAGTGCAATGTAAATGTTTTAATTTCACTCAAAAACACTGCTGCTATCCATTATGTTAATAGACAAGCAGATCTTGCAAATGAATAAGCAATAAACTGTTTTGAAACTGCTCAGTCAGAGATCCATGATGCTGTCCCACACTGTCAAGTTAGTGAAAAAAATTGTTTTTTTTTTTGTTTTTTTACAATTTTATTCAAGCAGTTCATATCACTATTTTAAATTAAAACCAATAAACTCATGCACAGAAAACTAAATTAGTATATGACAGTTAAGTTATTTCACAGCTATGTACAGTTGTTTGAACAAATATTTGTAACATTACACATCTATTAAAACCAAGGCAGACAGTTTAAGACAAAGGCTGAAAAGTGATTTTGATATGAATGCAATTAACACTTCATGTCATCTATCGGGGAGAATGTGATCAGTGTTGGGAGGCTGTACTCCTGCTTCTTTGGGGGTGAGGGTGTCTCCAGTGTGTCTAGGTCCAGTGAGAAGACCTTGTCTGAGGATTCCACTGACTTTACAGGCTCCATGAGCCAGTCTCTGTCCAAACCAGAAACCATGTGACCTGACCCAAGGAACTCTGGTGTCCTCTTTCTGCTTTCGATGAAGGAACCGTCAGCACACGCCTTCTGGATTAGACCCCGATGACAAGCCATAGTTAGTGGCGAATGTTTTGCTTCAGTCTTCAGGGAGGGGATGAGGAGCTCATCCTCCTCCTCACTCTTCATATCCACTGCCTCATCGTCAAGGCTCAGCAGACTGTCACAGCTTGGCATTTCAGGGAGAGTTTCTTGGTCAAGACTGAACTGGACGGCACTGCTCCCTGTGCCACTCGGGCTGTCGAGGGCTTCAGTGTTGAAGGTGTCCCACAACAGAGAGGACTTCAGTAAGACCCTCTGCTGGCAGACAGGGGGGCTACTGTGGTTTGTGACAGGAGAAGTGATACTGCAGGAGACACTCTGGGAGGGAACATCAGAGCTCAGCAACACATCGTGAGGCTTCTCAGGGGAAGCAAGTCGCCCCTTTATGCTGTCATTAAACTTTGCTGACCGTCTGATTTTCTCTGCTTTGTCCTCCTCCATTGCTTTCCGCCATGAGCTTTTCACATCCATAACTTGTTGAGGAAACAAAAAAGAAAGTCATTTTACTCACTACAAGAAGTGATGTCATGTGTAAACAAAGAGGAACACACCCCACAATCATAAAATTCTCAATAAACAGCCTTCGTGCTTTTTTCCTGCTTGATGTATTTGTACAGAATTTACCAAATGTATGGACATGAGGTAAATACAACAGCTCATGACTTACTGAGGCTTTCAGGGGTACGTGGCAGTTGCTTTCGAGTAGAGAAGGGATCTCCATGAAGAGTGCTGAGAAGACCCTCCAGGTCCACACCTTTGACCGTACCTTCTGTGGGGCTGGTTGTAGTTACAGCATCTGCAAACTAACACACACACCACACACACTTTAGTCTGGATTGAGTCTCTAGAATCCTGGCACTTGTCTATGCATCTCATGGTCATTCCCCACCCTTATTCCAGACTTAGAAACAGAGATACCAATTAAAAAATGCTAGCTCCTGTATCACAGCCTTTGATGTTTCCATGAATGAGAGTAATTGCTATACCTGATCAGCAAGGTTATCACACTCCATGTCTAGTATCTGAGTCTTGGTCCTCATGGGAGCCACCTTCGGCTGAACACTTGTCATCTTCTTCACACTGGCCTAAAAACAAGCACAGATTTGTTATCTGAAGATCTGGTGCACACAAATTTAGAAGGTGAATCCAATAAACAGGAGTTTAACTCAAAACAGAGGTTAGCTGAAAAATAAGACTAGCCTCAGGTGGCAGCACAGGTGTAGCCCTCAGAGGAGGGGAAGGAGGAGTGTCGAAAAGCCAGTCGAGAGAAGTATTCGCTCGCGATGATGCTTCAGTGGTGACAATGGGACTTTGAGTCCTCTCAGCTGCTGCAGGGCAAGAGCTGCTTCAAAGACACAAAAGCTGAATTATTTTTATGCAAGTAAATACATGTACATATTTTGTGCTTTACCTATTGTCCTTTACAGTTCACAATTTATTAAATGACAAACAAATCTATTGCATGTCTTCTGTAGATGTCAGCATTTCATAATCAGTCAATGAGGTTGGTATTTTCCTTCCCCTCTGCTCTAAAATCTGTATTCAAAAACTCATTTTATTTTTCTACATAACTTTTGCATAATTAAAAAGTTATGCAGAAATAAATAGTGTCTGCTCCGTATCTGTCCATGGCGATTTCCCTCAATTCGCCGCGGTCATCAGAGAGCATGGATGCTATAGGGAGGACTAGTGATGGACAGAGCACTGCTCAGGACTGTCCAGGTATCTGCCTCCCAACACAAGGCATACACCAAACACAACACTTCAAATACACTACGAAAATGTCTTCATTACACTCACATTTCCCTTACTAGCTGTCCAATGATAGATTACGTTACCTTTTCAGGTTAGAATTACTTGGGTTGACACCTTTGTGTGATTCACTCTCTTTCAGCTTCTCCTCTGAAAAATTGTATACAATTATTTGAGTACAATTAACAAATAAGTTACAACCCAACTTAATGTACAGACTGCAAAATGTGATTCTGCTTACCAAGAAGTTTAGCGGGATACTGGGAGAAGACACTACTTCTGTAGTTGGCTCCGACCGCCGGCTCAAATGACAGTGGAGCCATTGGTGAGAGGAAGCCAAGAGCCTAAAAAGATTTATATAAAAAAAAAAAAAAAAAAAAAAAAAAAAAATCAAGCTTTGAAACTACACAGTGAAAACATTTTGGTAATGTGGTGAGGCTTATGACCTCCACCAACAGACACAGTATTTGTCCCTATATAAAGCATGCTAATTTAGCAGCCTCACATTTGTACTATGTACTTTGCCTAAAGCAACTAGTTCCAAGGATTGAAGTAGTTCCAAGGACCACTCACAGGATCTTCATTCAGAAAAGAGACTAGGGGTGTGACTTTGAGGGTATCTATCCACTTCCTGTCCCACTCAGCCTCCAACTCCCCGATGGTACTTCTGACCTTAGGAATTTCTTCCTTGGAAATCTTCTGTCTGAGGAGGGAAAAAAGTACAGGAATACACTGATACTCAAGATGAACTTTAAATCAGCAGATATTCTTGAGGTAATTCTTCCCCATGATAACCAATGTTCCATTTACCAACAAAATTTCCAAACCACAAATAGCTCTAACCTCAAAAAAAAAAAAAAAAAAAAAAAAAAAAAAAAAAAGTATTTTCTATCAAATGAGTGTGGGTTAATGTATACCTGATGAGTTGGAGGTCCTGCAGCACACGGGCCATCTGCTGACATTTCACCTGCAGGTCCCGAGGACTGAGCTGGGGCTTTGGGGCATGAGACAGCCGACAACGCTCCTCCCTGAGGATCTGCAGCGTGTGGTTTGCCAGCTCCAACACACACAGGAGGTTTAGCTGGCCGACCTCATACACGTTCCCTGAGCTCAACTGGAAGGCATTCATACACAAAAACAGCCTACTGTGAGACTCGATGTGATTTATGGATTCACACTGCAGTGCATCTATGCTTAGCCTGAAAATGGCTGTTGTGTATCCCCCGTTGCCACACTACTTATACCTCATCTTTTTATTGCTTGTGTATAGATAGGATTATATCACGCATTTATAGAATTTCCGTCACAATTTAGGCCAAAATGAGATGTACTCCGATTACAAATTTCAAGATCAGATAGAATTTCTCTTCTCTTCCTTATTAATACAATGTGACACAGCACAAACAGTGACAAATTAGACATAGGTGAAGATATGACAGCATTTGAGGGTTAGATGAAAATATTGTGCATCCAAACATAACTATAGACTGAAGAATCAAATAAAGAATCTAATATGTTGTGTATAGAAGTTAACAGACACAAGTGAAAAGAATGAATTAAACCATTATCTTCACTCTCACCTGATGTGGGAGCTGCTCAATTCTCTCCAGCAGACTCTGGGGAATTTTGAGGACTCGATCGGTCCCATCCAGGATGTATTGGTCTACATCCCCTTTCAAAACACTTTCCACTGAATTTTGCTCCTCTTTGGTTGTCGACAGCATTTCATCAATGGCTGACCACAAGGAGCGCACCTTTGAACAACAAAGTACACTTGTAATTCTTTCAACAGAGATATCAGCTCAGAACATCTTTCTAAAACTCATCTTGATTTTAAAATTGAATTCCCCATCATGGCAATAATATGAAGCAATTTGGAACAGCAGGAAGCTTGTGGTCAGCGCTCTTACAATGTATGACTAACACACAGAGAGTACAAATTATGTCTTGTGTTTTATAGTAAGTTTTTTTTTTGCAAATAAATTTGATACCTTTTTGGTCTTCTCAGCTGGAAGAGCTGCCTCCTGTGCAGAATCACTGTTGTGACGCCTAAAAGTAGATAATCCGTTTTGTTCAATCTGCCAAGGAACATATGTCAGAAGGACAGAGAAAAACAAATCATACATACTTGAGAAGCTCGTCATACTTGGTACCCTCTTCTCCAATATCCTTCACAGACTTCACCAGAAGCCTTCAAGAGAGGAAAAACAACAGAAAACATCTTAAACAAGAAATGACCAACAGTATTGGAATCTAACTTCCATGAGCAAAGCAAAGTACCATAAAACAAACTCCTCCACAGCAAATACATGCTTAAAATGCAAACCTCAAGAACATAATGTTGGTGTTTGGGCACATGGTTTTAATTACACTGATTGCAAACACCTTCCAGCAGTCACCAATTAGCCTTGTTAACCTTGGGTTTACCACTTTGTCCATACAAACAGGTGGGGCTTGAAACAAACAGCCAATCACATGCAACATCAAGAGTAGTGTATTTAATACGACTTACAGTTAAAGTGAAATATCTTTGGTGAAAGTTAATTGCAGTAGTAGAAAATAATTATAAGGTAAAAGACATGCAACAAAACCACACATGAATAGAATAACAAGCAATAGAAATAATAGAAATACAATGTCCACATACTAAAAGTAACAGGCCATACAGTTAACTAAGTCTGGAAACTATTGAATAAGCAATATTCAACAGTGTTCACATTTTCAACATGTTAAGTAGTCTTAACGGAGCATAAAAAGGGATGACAAAAACATCTGCACTCATTGAAGTGTTACCTTTAAAGTAACTACCTTAATTTATTGGAGCAAACTATTATAACAAACAACAACCAGCTCTGTCCAACTGGACTGCCCTGGACTTACTGGGCTTGTCTCTGGTACTCCTGGAGAAAACGATCTTGATCCACTGCAGTTTTCAAAAACCTTTTACTGATCAGGTTGAGTCTTTTCACTGCCATGTCCACAGAAGAAGTGGGCATCGCTGCAGCCTCAGGCACCCAGCTGTCATCTGACAATGATAATATTCAAGATTAATTTCTCATCTTTTGCATCCCAACTCCATGACAAATTCAATTAAATGGGATGAAAGAAAGTCTGGCCTTTGTGGAGCCATTCTACACTTTAGTATTGCGTCCAGATTGTGAATACTTTTTTTGCTGGTAGCAAAGAAACAAGAGATTTCTTATCTAGACTGACCTGTGGTGAATGTCTTCATTTCTTGCAGCATGACATGACTGGCCAAATTAAGCATCAAGCTGATAAACTTGGGGCCTCCAGGGGAGAGGAACAAGGAAGCAACCACTTTGGATCCCGCATTTGCAGTTTCATCCTACACAAAGTTAAAAACACATGACTGTCAATAAGTTATTTAGTATAGCAGGCAGGAAATGTGTGGAGAGAAAGGGGTGATGTGCAACTAAAGGATCCCACCAGATTCAAACCAAGGACATTGCTATTTACATGGATGTAGATTTGTCACTTTTATGTTGTATAAATACAAATCTTTATGGGAAGCATGTGCGGAGAATGGGAGACTGAGGAGCTGATAAGGATGAAAGGAAAGCCAAAAGGAATGAATCAGCAAATTAAGAGGAGTTGGACACAATTACCCATTTTTAAAAAGATAACTGAAGTACATAATCTGGGAAATGCACTCTGAAAAGAATAGTGAAACAGTCTCAAATTCTTACCATTATTTCTCGCAGCCAAGCGCAGGTAACTTTGCGGAACTCAGCATCTGCTTTGTGGTTTAAAACAGGCCAGCAATGCCTAAACAAAAACAAAGGCTTCATTTTTATGACAGTGAATTTTACACGCGTTTCTATAGGAGTGGCAATAGATGCTTAAGTCTAAATTTACCTGTATGCTTCATGATATCGTGTAGGATTGAGTTTCTCCAACAGGAAATTGGTTACTATGTAGAAAGCATCTTTGTTTGGTCTATCAAACATATTCCTGTTGGCAATTACATAACACTTAGAATCATGGCAGAAGATATAGTGAATGATTACTTCAATGTCATTTAAAGTGAAAGTAACAGTACATTAACAGTAACAGCACAAGCCTTGATAAATTGACTAATATCTGTTGGTCTAAATCTGTTAATGTTAACAATGAAAACAGACTCACGGTCCCAGGTTGATGTGTTTAACGTTAATGTTGGTTTTGCCGGCGATAGACGACATTGCAGTGTCTGTTCGAAATCCGAGTCCGAGAAGAGAAAACCACAGATATTTTCCATTATTTTTCTGCAACAATACCGGGTTCGCCATTATTCCGAGATAGGTAGAAGCTGTGCGAGTGTCCGGTGCTGATTCAAAAAGCCAGCCTGGCTAATATTAAACAGCTAGCCAGCTAGCTTTGCTGCTAGCCAAAAAGTTTACTGGTAGCGTTAGCCAACTTAGCTTTCGAACTTTGAATTTGTCAGCATACACTTAACAACCCAATATCAAATTAAATACTGCCATGGAGCAGTTACTAGTGTTATAAGGGTCGGCCCAGTTGTAGTCACGACTGAGGTAACATTTGTTAAAATAAATTTCAAAGATATTTCCTATCGGGAACAAGGAAACACTACAGCTCGAAAAACAAACCGCCAATTTTTTCCAACGTTACCCGGATGTTATTAACAAGTACTTCCGCTAAGGTAATGTAACGGCTATGACTGTAACCCCATGTCTAATGTCGTAACGCTATGGACTTTGGGTAATTACCTCTAATATTTGGTGTTGTTTTATATGTGATATGCCTTGTATGCTAAATATTACTTGTTAGTATAATTCTTATGCAAGAACTCATGACAGCCAACCTTGTGTAGGTACAAAGTTGGCTATATAATAAAACTTGTTAATGGTTTGACATAGATTTATCCCACATAGTGTGCTTTTAACATTTCATTCACATGTATGCATCATTGTTACAGCATTAACCCTACATATACCTGACAAATTCATAAAGGGACTTTGGAATGGAGTGGCATTAATAAAAACACAGACTATGCAGATTTCATTTGTCCTTTTTTATTGCAGAGCATACAATTATTTAGGTCTCCACCACAACTGATTAAGCAGAACAGAGTAATAGTATGAAAGAAGTGCCCTTTTTTTCTATTCATTTGCATCATTGTAGTTCTTTTAAAACCAGCTGGCAACACTCGCCCACCTTAGATGGATCAGACACTGATGAATACTTGGAAATCTGAGAGTTGACCCCCAAAGAGCGAGCCAGGTCCTGGGCTGTTTGGTCTGAGGCCACAGTGGTTCCCAAGGCCACCAGCAGCCTAAACACAGCCTCCTTGTCTTGTACCGTCTCCAGAGCTCTACTGGCCACAGAGAGACACTGGGCCTTGGCCTCAAGATCGGGTTGGCTGTGTAGGCAGCCAGCGTAGTTAAGCACCAGAGTGGCCAGGGCAATGTGGATGTTCTTATTGCAGACGGTGGCCAGGTCAGCAGCACGCGACAGCACCGTTTCACGCTGGGCCATGAGGAGGGCTCGGCCGTGCCTGCCACTAAAGCAGTTACACAGAGTCCGCAGTGCCAACATCTGATTGGCAGGACGCCCCTCAGGCCTCATCAGGCTCAACAGGTGGTTGCACAGCTGGACTCCCTCTGCCTCTCCACAGAGGCTCTCGTTAACCTGCGGGTGGCGCACTGCCAGCCTCATAATGTCCAGGACAGGAAACACTATGTCTACAATCCAGGGAAAGCAAAGGGTAGTATGGTTAGTGAACAGTAATTTACTAGAGAACATTGTTCATAACTTTGTAGGAAACTTAAAAGCAATGAACAATGAACAGAAAAAGAATAAAAGACTATCATAAATTGGGATAGAAAGCTGTTGCTGTACCTTCAGGCCAGTGGGAGGCCTTCCAGAGTAGGTTGATCTGTTGGATGTTTGGAGGATGTTCAGAGGAGTTTGGCCCACAGACAGACACCAGCAGCCCTTCAAGGCTTTCCAGAATTTCCCCAGAAAGCTTGTGCTCCTGAGGGGCACCTTCATTAAGCTCCTTCAGCTTGGCTGGTGAGAAAAGAACAAATCACTTACCCTGACACAGGTAGGAAACTTTAATGAACCAAGTCAAAAGGTGTTTAGGTACAATATCCTCATCAACACAACTTTTAAAGCCTCGGAAAGTTAAAATCCATTTTTAAAAAGTTAATCTGCTTCATCAGGAATGTGGTGTTGTGGGATCAGATATGATGGCCAAATACTATGAATCCTGATTGGTGCAAACCAGTGACAAGAGCACAAAGAAACAAAAATCTTTAATGTGACATAGCTTACACTGTTCTAACTATGGCAGAAAAAATATATTAATGTAGGAACCCATCACTGATGGTAAAAACTGGGAAAAAGATTTGCAGGGCTCCAGGATCTCCAAACTGATAAATAAAGTTATTAAAGATGTTCTGTCATTCTGTCCTGATATAGTTCTTATGTCAGGTGGCACAACACATCTTTAAATGTATATGTCCAGTGGAGATTTAGATGCTTCATTTTGACTGAGAAGAATCTACATGGACATGCTTCATAAGTGTGAAGAAGTGTTTTTGAATGCGTCATGATTTCAAATGAAAACGTTTCTATTGTCTTGGCTGGTAAAATAAAAATACATAACAATTTGGTCAACAGATGGATTTGGTGATACTTTACATTACAACTCAATCAGCATGGCTTTATGTAGACTTCAGTTGTGCATCATCAGCCTATAAATGGCTTACCAATGATTTGTGTGGAGTTGGCTTGCTCAAAAGTTACACCATCAGTCTTGGGGAAGTAGATGTTGGTTGCCGTCTGTCTGAGGGCTGCTGAAGAGTAGGCACCTCCACCTGCCAGGTAGAGAGGAATGTGATCCAATGAGTCGAACACTCACCATTAAAGATCTGAAAACATATCACAACTGCCATGTGCCTCAGATAGGAGGCATGCAACTCACACTGGTCTTTTCTATTGGGTTGCCTGTTCTTGTTCGTCTTTTGTTGTACAAAATTCATTGGTTCCTTCAGTACGTAACCCACCTGTGAAGGGATCCGCCACGCCTACAGGAGCACTTGTGTTCGGACCAGACCCCGGGATGTAGCGACCAGAGCCTGTGTAATAAAAACACAGCTGTGAATATAACCTCTGCTGATGTAAAGATCGTGGAAAACCTTTTTGTAAAGATATTACCTGTGAACGGATCAGCTCCAAAGCCTGGCCTATCATCAGAAGACCCAGGGATATACCGAGCTCCTCCTGTCAGATAAAGAGGCAAAAAAAATCTTGTGAATAATTTAGTCCAATAACCTTTAAATACTGAAAAGGAAAATATAAAGAATGTGCAGTATAGAAAGCACAAGACACAAGTAGAAAAACAAGCCCAGGTAACTATATCTTTGCCTCACCAGTGAATGGATCACCACCAGCTGGCTGGGCTGGTCCCACCACATGACCTTTGGTGTTCTCTATGATAAAATTGGCAACCTGGTCGAGGAACATGGGGCTGAGGTCATTCTTCTGCAGGAAGTTGTGCGCTGTCAGCCAGGGGTCCTCTGACACGTTATAAGGCAGCTTCATGGATGGCCCGCCCTCATTCACGTCAATGGTGAAGACGTAGTCGTATTCCTGAGGGGAGATCGGGAATCATTAATGACTGCTCTTGTGCAGTGTTCCTTCCGTCATCACTAAGCTTGTGGCCTTACCTTTCCTTCGTACATCACACTCTTCGAAGTCTGTTGATTTGAGCCTCCAACCACATCTCCGATCTTTACCCAGCGGCCATCACTGACACTCCACTGATATGCCTCCACCTTCTGTCCATCTTTAATCAGCCGTGTCTGTCCGTCACGATTTCCTGGAGGAAGTAACCAAACAAAACCATCGTGATGGAGAAACGGTACTTTCTCTTTATCATAAAACAGAAAGAGGTGTGAACCAGTAACAGCAGACACAGCAATTTTTCACATATCTTTATATGTCTATTTTCTTACCAGGCTCGTTAAGGTGCTCCCTTCCAGGAAGATCCTCCATTTTGATGTCTCCAAGGTCGCCTGTCTTTGGGTCAATGGTGGTTTTGGACAGCTCATCCTCGAAGGCCTGTAGGTCCTCTGCACTGGCCATGCGGTCCTCAGCTTCCGTAAAAACACGGATAATGCCATCACTGTGGGCAGACGGTCAGCATCCAAAGTTAGCCACAAAACTACTTACAATACCAATGTTTACCTGAGAATCTACACCATGTTATGTGCTGTAACATAAAACTATTTGATGTCAGTCGTAATAGAAAAAGGTGTTTAAATATTTATGCTGTGACAAATGGAAAATGGACATGATCAGCTAAATGATTATGGGCTAAGCATGCCAAATGCATTTTTGTTACCTGGCTCCAACGGCTATATCTCCATTAGGTAGAATACAGCAGCACCAGACAGACTGGGCAGGCAGGCGGATGGTCTGAGCACACTCTCCCTTCCTCCATATCCTTAAAGTCCTGTCCTCTCCTGTGCTTACAAAATCTAATGAAAAAAACATCAGTCTGTGGTCAGGGTGAGCTAGGAGTAGCAGGAAAACAGATGGATGCTGGTTCAAGAAATAATCAACCACCAGTGGTTGGTTACATACATATTACAAGTCTGTCATTTGGATCTTTCATAAGCCTTTAACTATTAATATAAAATGAACACACCTTCGCAATTTGGGAAGACAGCTAAGCTGTAGATGTAGTTGGTGTGGCTGTAGTAGACCTGCACACATTCGCCTGACACCAGCCACCTTCTGATACTGGTGTCATTGCTGCAGGAGAAGAACTCAGTGTTGCTGATCACCGCTAGTCCCCTCACACAGTCCTCATGACCTAAAGTGGAAGAGAAAAAAAGACTGTGTTAACCTGATTAACCTAATTGACCTAGTTAACCCGATTTGCTAACATAATGTCCAGTTATTACCAAAGAATGATGTGATTTATCATTTTCATTTTTTTGCTCTGACATAACTGTTGTTTCCCCATCATACTCCACAAGGTTTGTTGGCTAAATCAATTAAAATGTTTGAGGGTGCAGTGCTTACAATAACCAGATATGCAAACAGAGGCAAAGTTGACACGATTACTTACTTAAAAAGTTAACCTGAAAAACTCTAAGCAATACTACCTATCAACAGCCAGTCACAATTTTGAACACACACAGATCTAACCAGAAACCAAAGACAAAAAATGATATTTACTCATGTTAACCAAATGCAAACACTCACCTGTAAATGTTGTCTCACATCGGCCAGCTTTCCAAAGCTTTATGGTCTTATCTGCTGATCCGGACAGCATGAGGCCTTGTTCAGGTAGTATAACCACTGCCCACACTGCCGCAGAGTGGCCCTGCATCGAAATTAACAAGCAGCCAATATGCTCCGTCACACTCCCTAATCATATATTTGCTTATTACAGTTGCATAGATGAAAATGACATCGATTATCATGAAAGTACAAATGTCAACTACAGTCTGTGCCAAAGAAAGCCCAATTAACTGCATCTTATGGAAAAACTCTACTAGCAGAAGATCAGGGTAAGATTTACCATCACAGATATATCAACATACCTGCAAGGTCATCATGCATTTCTCATTCAGCCAGACTTTGGCTGTAGTGTCCCAGGAGCCGCTCAAAAGTGTCCCAAACTTGCCAGATGACAGACTACAAACTGCGAGGATTAAAAGTTAGAAAACTTGAATCAAACTGTTTACATGCATGATGTGATGTTAAGAGCAATTAAGATGCTTATAGGTGTGTTTATGTCCTCAGAGTGTATAGTAGACCACAGCTTACCTGTATTTTTATGACCCTTGAGAGTCAATAGCGGCTGTGGTTGGTCCAGTGTGAAAACACAAATGTTATTATCATTCCCACCTGTGGCAATAAGTCCTCGGGGATATGTTTCACTGGGTGCAATGATGCACACACAGGATACAAAATTAGAGTGGCCAGACATACAGTGCATCTCTGTGAAGCCTTTGTCTGGGCTGTCAAGGGGAGGGGACAGAGAGCAAAGACACCTTAGGTGAGCAGAGTTACTTGTGTCGGAAAAAGTACAACACTGTTGTCTGGTTGATAATTGTAAGAAGGCTCAGTAACTATATGCCAGACAAAATACATAAACCACTCTACATCTGGTGAACTTCAGCAGTTACTCAACATCTGCGCTGTGTAAACTGAGTTACAGCTGAATGAATGACAAAGCTAATTTAAGTACACGTTAGCAATGCGCTTACTAGCTAACTTAGCTACCAATGTTAACACGATTTTATAAATAGTAAATAACTTCAGTGAGGTTTGTTATTTGGTTCGCTACTTTTCTTAATCAGAACACTTTTCGTGAGCACAGCGTTTCTTATAAACTAGCATAAATCGTAACACAACACAATCAGTGAACCAGTAGCAGGCTAATGCTAGCTACCTTGAGTTTGGTACCCAGACTCTTCCGGTTCGATCTCTTGAGACAGACACGAAAGCTCCCTCTGGAAAAACAGCAGCTGTTAGTCCTCTAACGTCCATTTCATGGCCCGGGATGGAGCACCTGAGTTTGTATGAGTTAGATGATGCCATTGCCCCCCGTCAACACAACGAAACTACCGCAGTGGTGTAATGCTAAGCGGCGTTGCTGTCAACAAACACCGGCCGCTAATGCTAGCGGAAGTTGAAATACGTCACTCACATCATTAACCTCACCATTCAAATAATATAGTCGTTCATGACGTTAAAATCAAATATCGGCAGTGGTAAGTTCAAATCATTACAATCGAGAATGTGTATTCAGAAATACATTCAGAAATACAAAAAATCACAGAAGGGAAAGAAACAGACTGCCGACGCCTGTATTTACAATTTTCCCCCACAGGGTGGCAGTAGACGGTTCTCAGATGGCGGTGGTGCACTGCGTTCCAAGCGGGTCCACCGCCCACCTGTCCACAACTACTGCATGAAGCTACCACAAACAGGCAGAATACAACAGGAAACTGGGAATGTTGACAGTAAAATAAAAGCCTAAAATATGTTTGTGAAAAAACGAGTACAGTGATAACAAACAAGAATCTCTGCATCCATAATGTCCTACCAAAAGAGGTCACTATTTTTATATTCTAAATGCAATGGTAATCTGGAGCAATCACCTGTATTAAAACATTGCGTTTCTTTGTGGACCTTAAATAATCATATGGTAGTCCACAACGAACTATTACATGAACCCTCATGAACAGAGATAGACGTCAGATAATGTATAGACAGATAAATGCTAGATAGATAAATGCTGGATGATATTTGAGTGGATCAAACTGGATAATATGTATGTACTCGTATGTAGTACCTATGTAGCACATACTTTAGTCTATATTTATGTAAAATTTTTATTTTTTATTTTTCATTTATTTTTTGCTAAACTATCGTCCCATTGAAAATGGTTTTATTTGTAAGAATAAATCAACCGGAAATGTGTTTTTTCATTGCAGGTAACAAAACACTGGTCCTGTCCAGCCCACAGAGGCTCGGATGAGGAAGTGGCTCCACTGATACGTGCACTGAATAGGACAGCTAATAAAAGTAGGTATATTTTCATTTTGAAATGATTAAATAATGACTGACGCTACGTACGTTGTATTATTTAATCTGTATATGACGGCGAGTGAATTAAATCAGGTTAGCCCGCTGAGGTTTGCTAACAACACAGCAAGGCTATAGAGCCAAGCCCGTCACGCCTGTCAGTGTTATCAGTTGTATGAATGATGGAGCAGGCGAGGCTGTACAATAACTAGGTTTTTAGTGCACACTGGCCAGTTTGTACTGATTTAGACTGGATGAGATCAGCAGATACTGCTCATGTTAAAATACATATAAAATTTGTGGAGGTAATGCTGGGCTTGTTTACAGACACCTGCTGTATAACACACTAGTTAGGCCCATGTTAAGGTTTAATCTCATGACAATTTCCAGCAAACATGACCTAATATTTCCTCCTCACTACATGTCAGATAATGGTGTTCTCAGTCATTCTGCTTTGCTTTCGGCCAGTCATTAATACATGAAATCTGTTACTGTCATGTAGCAGTGCTTAAGGCAAAATGTCACTGCTTTGTGATAGATAATTAATTTGAAACACATCATTTTAAATAACCACAAACTAATGGAATCTGATGACTCACACACAGATATGACAACAGCCACTACAAAACATGTATGTACGATAACTAAGCTTGTGCGAGAGAGCAGAGACCACCTATTTTACCTAACATCAACCGGATATTTCGATCTGTATGTGTTTGCTCGGTACACTATAGGTTTTCCTGCAGTCCCTGCAGCCATGAAGCTTCGACTGCACTTTGTGGTGGACCCCATGGGCTGGCTGTGCATCAGCATGGTATTTGGGATCTGGTTGTACAACACGTTCTTCATTCCTAAGCTGGTTCTGCTTCCACACTACAATGAAGGACACATCCCCTGGGCCACAGTTGTTTGTGAGTGTCCTTGTTTCCACTGGATCAATTCCTTGTTGACACATAAGAGATTAAGAAAGGAAGTGTCTAACCTATTTCTGAGGGGCTGCTGAAAGTCATGAGAATTTCTGGTAAAACCACAGACAAAAAAATAAAATTATTATAGGAGTACTCCTTTAAAACATGCAGTATAATGATTTTGGATGGAAGTGTGTGTATCACACTGTTCAAGTAAATTAAACATTTTGTATTTCCTCAGGTTATTACATAGCATCAGCACTCTGCATAGCGGCCCTCGTCAGAGCTTCGACAGCAGATCCCGGGCGTCTTCCTGTGGACCCCCACATACCTCACTCTGGTGCGGAAACAGAAAAGCTCACCTTACTTCCTCACTGCTTTACCACTTCTTATAAAGCAAAAAATGATCCCCTATTATCTTTCCAATGTGTCCGATAGTGCATGTTTTTACTGTTTGTCCATACATGTTCAAAAAAACAGCAACATCTATTCTTAGATGACATCTATAAGTTTAAAGGTTATTATCACTGTGTCACTTTGTCATCTTTGTCTTTATGTCACAGAGCGAGAGCACTGGGAGCTGTGCAATAAGTGCAACTTAATGAGACCTAAAAGGTCCCACCACTGCAGTCGTTGTGGCCACTGTGTACGCAGGATGGACCACCACTGTCCTTGGTGAGGGTATACTCTGTACTGATACATATCACATCTCACAGCTTCTGATTGCAAGCTTGTATTCAAATCAGTGGTATGGTTAATGTAGCTTATAATATAACACTACAAAGTCAAGAGACGTTTTCTAGTTTACACCAGTAATGACCTGTCTTCTTCTTTGTAAAATGAACAGCTGATACCTTGTGCTATCCATTTTGTTTTCAATAATTGTGGGAAACAGATTATTTTTTCACAAATATTGACAAAATGAAAGATGAATATCCTCACAACACATTGTTTTTCTGCACATGCAGATAGATTATATTGTATCATATCATATATGAATGTTAACACAAATGATACAAGATCAGTTTATTTCCAGGATCAATAACTGCGTGGGAGAAGACAACCACTGGCTTTTCCTGCAGCTCTGTTTCTACGCTCAGGTCCTAAGTTTGTTCACCCTGGTGTTGGACTTCTGCCAATACTATTACTTCCAGCCACTGACAGGACTAGACCAGGTACGTTCCACTGCAATATAAGTAACAGATATCCTCAGTTCACAGAAAAATGTCTACATTTGTGTACATGTGCGTAGCAGTTTGGACTGTCGCTGTTTTTATTTGGTTATCCTAAAGCTGATGTGTCACCTTTGCCACAATACGTGTGTTAAATGCTTTGTTACATCCCATAGGAGGCAGCTACAGCACTAGTAAAATGTACAAGTTAATATTTGACTCAGATAAGAGTATTGAACATCAACGAGTTGTCCTTCTGTCTTCCTCTGCCAGGAGAAGTTTACGACACGCCATGAACTGGCTCTGCTGCGAGTCTCAGCGCTCATGGGTGTGGTCATGTTCGGTGGCATGACCAGCTTGTTTTATACACAGATGACGGGCATCCTGTCTGTGAGTACTGAATAATGACCAGAGGACTTATTATCTAGATTCAAATGACATTTGCTGCTCCAATGATGTTAATGTAATTATGTCTTCTCTTAACAGAGTGTAGCAAACATTTCCAAGCTCATGTAACTGTTCAGTGTCATTTTGTAGGATCTGAAACATAAGCGTGATGGTCGTATCATTTAGTATGTTTGTCCTGTTTAAAGCAGGCTGTCTTTTCAAAGACAAACAAGGCAGCAGCACACTAAGCTTCAGACAGAACGGCTTGACATAAAAATAAAACAATCAATGCCAGTAATGCAGGGATCAATAGAGAAGAAACGAGAGAAAGTCTGGGGTCAGGCTGTGTGTGTGAGTGTGCGTGTGCGTGCAAGTGTGTTTGGACATCCCGTCAGTGACCACATTTACCTGCAAGATATGAAGAATTGCATTCATAATATCTTTGGTGACATAACAAAATTGTTTTATTATAAGCCAAAGTAATTTACAAGCTTTCTTCAAGCATTTTGGCAAAGCTGTAATGTTTGAAACATCTGTACGTAGCCTCCATGATCAGATGGGAAACAGCAAACTTTGATTTAGATAAAAGTTTCCGATCGATGGAGCCGTCAACAGGGGCAGGAGAACACATAAATGTAATGCATGCTGTTTTTGGCAGATCATGTGACACTTTAATCAAGGCCCTGAATCATCATGATGGTGAAATGATCCACTCATTTTGCATTGACCTTTGCTTTCTCCCCCTAACAGGATACTACCACCATTGAGAAAATGGCTCAGTTCTCAAATGAAATGTGAGTGTGCTTCCAGTCTGTTTCCAGTCTTCACACTAAACTAATCTAAGCTAACCAGCCGCTGGCTCCAACTTAATGTTGAGCAGGGATATGAAAGTGGTATCAGTGGTTTCATCTTGGCTAGAAAGAAAATAAGCATATCATCCAAAATGTTGAACTATTCCTTTAAAATGCTCGCATAAAACACATTTCAACATGAATGATTACCTTTTCTGTTCTCTCTTCTTTGCAGATACGGCTCAAAGAGATCCTGGCAGTGGGCACTAGCTGAAGTTTGCGGCACTCGCTGGAAACTCCTGTGGTTCCTCCCGCTCCGAAACAGGCAGCCGCTCCAAGCCAGCCACCACTCCCGCGCCCACGTGTAGGTCGGTAGCGCTACACTACCTCCTGCCTGCACAGATGCTACGGGCTGCCATGATGAAACACTGTATACACACTTAAAGAATCCATCTGCTCGCCTTCACCGTCCTCTTTTGTGCTATGGGAACTGGGCAGCAGTCTTGGTTTGTCAGTGGATACTGGAAGCTTTTTTTTTTTTTTTTTGGGTTTTATTTATTTATATTTTTGTTTTCTTTTGCCTTTCTCTACAAGACCCAGACTGGCAGTAAACAGGGTCAAGAAACACCTTTGGGATTGACGGGAAAATGTTGCTTTTTTACTCACTGTGACTGCTACTTTCAGCATTTGGAAAACACTTTTAATGGCTAAGTGCATCAGAAGGATGGAAGTCTGCACCTGAAAGCAGCTGGCAAAAGGGACCCCTCTCAGGTTACTTTAATCAAAAGAGCCTTTACTACTGACCTTTAATCAACTACAGACAGAGCTAGGGTAACTCCAGTGTGTCTGTTAGAAAGGCATTTTTTTGTATAAAGTTTGTGCCTTGTTTCTTTAAGCTCTGTCCTTTTTTTTATTTGTTACGCATGAGCATTGCTTTTCCTTTATATTTTCTGGTTGCTGATCTTCCAGTTGGCAAATTTCATGTGAATAGTGAAGGGATCTTTAAATGGTGATCATATGATGATTCATGAATGTTTCCTTGCTTTGTTCTGTGATCGTTTTACCTATTAAGTGATGTTTTATGAAGCATGGCCACAGAACAAAGTCGATAACTTGAATAATGATGACACTCAACCAACCAGTTACAAAGATGTGTAATAACAAGCAGACAGTTAACAATTCCTCATATCATGGTGCAATAATCCAAATTTAGAAACAAGTCAACACTATTAATCTTAGGCTGTATCTGTCGTGATCAAATCTGTTGTATAATCAAGTTGTTTCTCTGCGTATAACAAACATTACAAAGTCAATTAATATCATGACATGTTGTGAACTCACATACTGTCCTCAAAGATCACTTAAACCTCTATTGATCTTAAAGGAGTAGTCTGACATTCTGAGAAGTAGATTGCCTGTAAACTAAATATATAGTTTTAGCCAGCAGTGGATTATGTTAGCGTAGCATAAAGAACCACATAAATAACTAAATTCCCTGTAGAACTGCAACTTGTCTTTTTTTTTTACATTTCAGTGTTTTTACAGGTTAAATAAAAAAAGATTGTAAATTAGTGAGCTGTAGAGCTGTTGATAAGTATGTTGTGTTAAGACAGAGCCAGGCTAGCTATTTCCCCATACTTCCAATCTTAATGCTAAAATAAGCCAACCAGCTGCTGGCATTTACCAAACAGACATGAGAGTGCTAACGACCTTCTCATCTAACTCTGCGCAAGAGAGCGAAAAGGTATATTTCCCAGAATGTCGTCCTATTCCTTCAAATCGGACTGTTTAGCGTAAACCTGCTGTATCAACCATAGCACTTACAAAGCATTGGCACAAATGACTTTTGAATACATTGTTCATTTTATACTGCTGACAAAATCATTTTTGATTTATACTTATCATGTTAGTGCTGCAGCTGACGTAGTTAGGTCTTAACAAGCAACCCAAACACAAGCAGATCAGTGTACTTGTGGCATACAGCTAGTTAACACTTGACACATCACTGGTGATTTTGCTGTAACTCTATGGTACTGAATAGAGATTTATTGAATTCTTTAACTGGAGAAGATCATTCAGTGCATAACAATGCTAGCATAGTGTGGTTGCCACCGTCTATAATACTTGACAGCCATTTAGCTCAACCTGTACGTAAACAAAGCTTGCCATGTGCTGGAAACATTACAATATCCAAGTAGTTTTAAGTGCCTGTCGAGGTCTTCTTTTTACTCTCACAGTACATCATCATCATGTTGTTCTCCATACAAGCCAAAGACTGGGGGAAATGTTGCAATAGTCAGCAAGCATTCAGTAAAAGCATGTCTCACCAAATGTCTGAAGGTAGCGGTTCGATATTATGCACTGATTTTTGCATTAGCACACAGTCTGTTTCACTGCAATCTTCACATGAAGGAATTTTATTTGTCGTGTATCCCTTTTTTAATTCATACCTCTAATCAAATTGTTTGCATTTGCATGAGTGTGTGTTGATATCTTTGCTCAGTGGTTTTTATAACTCAGATTCAGGTTCTTGGATGTTTGTATTTTATTTTTTTGTGGTTTGATAATGGGTGGGTAAATGTGTGTGATTGGTGGTAAAAGAATGGGGTACTGATGAATTCATTAAGAATTTCTTTATATATAATTTTTGAAAGCAATAAGCGCTGTGTGTCAGTGAAGCCACCTTTATTGTTACAACAGTAGTGAAAATCTGATATGTATTGTAAAGTATATGAACTGGATGGATGGGTTTCACTCTTGACTCATTAACCAGTGATAACTGATTGTTTGTCAATACTTCAGTAACCTCAGCCAAGATTAATACTACTGTAGCTGCTGTGTGTAATTGTAAAGCATATTTTCAATGAACAACATGTCAGCCACAGGACCTCATGTTGTTAGCAACAGGCTAACAGAAAAGCTCAAATTCATTTTGTTGAATCAAGAGCTGCAGGAGACTGGAGGTGTGAACGTTTCAGAGAAGCTGTGCTCACTCACTTCCCTCCACAGCCGCTATCTGGCGTCCCACAGGGCTCTCAGTTTGGATCTGTGCTCTTTTGTTCACATTGTTCATTTGCTGTTTTTTGGAATGTGTTCTCAAGCTTTATTTTGTTTGATTCAGACCTCAAACACTGGAACAGTTGTGTTTTGTGAATTAAATTAATAAACCATAAATATGTTACCCATTTCTTTATGTCTAGAAAGCCCTGTGAGAAAAATCAGTTAATTATCTTAGAAAAGTGTATCAATTGTGATTATAAAAAATATCATAAAGGTATTCATATTCTAATAAATTAGATTCTGAATAAGTCTGAGCTGATTCTTCTCTCTTTTTTCAACTTGCTGTTTAGCAACTTAAATCTTGGCTGCAGCTGAAGCTTTTATTTCTCTGTTATGGAAATGAAGAGGGAAATTAGCATGCGATGTCAGTATTTTCTTCAACAGCTTTTATTATATGGAGACCTCAGCTGTGAGACCATAGTCTGGGAAGGAGCAGTGGACCTTTATTCTTGTTGCCACCGTACCAATATGGAACCCTGAGACTGACAAAATGTAGTAAAAGGTTATCAGACAAGTTAAATAATTAAAATGTGAGTGTAAAAACAAATAGAAAATGTTAAATTTTTTTTAGCTTTATACCTACCTCCAATCAGCTCATAATAAAAAGTGTGCAGTTGAGAGGACTGTGTGGCTAGCTATAGCATCAGCCTTTTCAGCTACCTCATTTTGAGGTAATCAATCTGATATCACAAGAGAACAAAAGGTTGTTTCCTCTTATTACAGTCTCTTATTACCTGTTATTATCTCTTATTACCCACATGCACAGATGGAGTCTTGACAACAGTAACTGTGTATTTAAGATGAAAATGGCAGATCAAGGAGCACCCATATATGGAAGCCTCAAATGGCCATACTTTCATTTCATTTTTCAATGTCATTATCTCAAGATCATGAGTTGATTTATCTCAACTCGCGAAAACAAAAGGCAGATTTTTTGAGATGATTTATTACGTTTTAATAAGATCACAGGATAATTATGGAGAATTTGAAAATGAGTGCCTGGTTTATTTGATCACACCCACACAGCCTTCACGATCACTGTCATGACTGTTCGGGAGGATTCATAACTGAACAGTAAATCAAGGCAGTTTTGTTTGCTGCAGTCATAGTTACTCCTTGATCTGATATCTTTAGCTGAAATCAGTCACAGCTGTCAAGATGCCATTTGCATGCTAGCATGGCACTCCTGATTGCTGATAAACATTATGAATAATAAAAGGAAACAACCCTTTGTTTTCTTGTGATAACGGGTTGATTAACTTAAGGTAACAAACCTCGTTTTCTTGAGATAGCAAGATAAATTACCCTCTTATCACAAGAAAAAAAGCTCAAAGTAACAAAATAACTAATTTGTGATTATGTGATAAGGGCATTAAAAAAATAATTGCAAGTACAACCGTTCTCAGCTTCCGTACCCATAACTACAGAAAACAAAACCACATATTTATGCCTTGACTCACTGTTCAGTTATGAATCCTCCCCAACTTTAGGAGTACGCAATCTCTTTATATAAACAATGGTGTAACCTAAATAAAATATTATCAGCAAAATAAACTTCAAAAGCACAAGCGCTTGTTCGGCATCCCCTGTGATTTATTATCATTCTAGTTCATTTATTACTATTATTATTATTATTATTCATGTGCCTGACTGAGACATTGTAAAATGATCCTGCTTTTCCTGGTATGTCAGAATGTCAAAATAAGCTGATGAATTTTCACTGTAAAATATTATGTAATGACACCACACAGTTGTTTTCTTCCATTGACAAGATTATATTAAAATTAAGCAAAACATTTTCAGCCAGTTTTCTGTTAATGCCTGACTCAGAAACATCAAAGTCACACGTCACACATGCTTCACTTGCTGTTTGTTTCTCTCACTACAATTACTGTGTGTCACAATAAGAGCCCAAGGCTGCTTCAGTTGTCTCATACCAAATGGCCATTGTCCTAAAAAGTTCTTAAATCTCAGTGAGGCGTATGTAATGTGTGCATGATCCGTGAACGCGGTCTATGTGTGTTGTCTAAAATGGTTACATGTTTTAAACATACTCCGAACACACACACACACACATACACACGTGCACGCTGGCACTTTATTGCCCTCAGCAACCCCAACTGACTCAGGCTTAACCAAGCAAAATCTTGAACTGTCACAACAGCATTTTCTTGGTCCTCCTTAAATTAAGAAGTGCCCATCAGGCTTTTTGACACATGGCCACTGTCTTTATATCAACCTGTTTTAATATCAGTCTCTGCTGACTCTAAAAGTCCCAGCCAGTGCCTTCATTATCCTGGAGAAGAGAAAATATTCTGCATATAGATTTAATATCTGCATTAGTGTTTGTAATAACACATTTCAAACCCCAGTATGTTGAAATGTGCCTGGGGTGAAATTTAATTTGTCAGTTTGAGCTTTGGCATGATAAAATTTGAAGGAGTCCAGTCTAGATAATAGC